TAAAAACTTAAGATAAATCACAAGATAGAAGTCAATGTCACAAATGAATATCTTTTCTTTTAGAGTCACGGTATGTTTATACAAGATAATACTATTAATATAATGTGACTTTTCTAGAGAATCATTATACAGTTATTTTATACAGGGTTTCCACAGTTTTACATCATTTCAGAATTCCCTGACTTTTAGCTGACTCAGGATTAGTTTTCCCTGACAAAATAAATGCAGCCGTTTGTTGTTTTGGTCAAAAATCACGACATCTGGCAGAAAATCACGTGACTTTTTCAAATCACGTGACAATGTGTACAAAAAAAAACAACAATGGCGCCGGCAACGCTTCTGGGTCGTTTTTTATCTGATGTCGGTGATTTTAAAGTAATTTTGAGTGATAAATAATTTTTTTTGAAATTTGTACTCTCCCGACAATAAAAACTACTTGCCCCGGGAGATCGGGCGATGGTTAACATCGAGCCCTGCTTTGCGTAGTACCGAAAGTTTTCAGACAAACTTTGCATTTCGAGTTCTTTTGCTCAACATCTATGGCCTAATTTTGGTGCCACCAAACTGAGAGTGCAGTGAGATCAATGTGCATCGTTTAAACTCACACACCGTCGCTCAAAACTGGTCTGCCGCACGCGCAACTCTGATAACGCGCTCTCCACTTAATCCTGTGGAGCCGAGCGAGAGCAGAGATGAATTGGTGTAATTTCATTAACAGCTGTGTTTGACGGTTCTTCCCTGGGCTCATTCGCCATTCTCTTTGTTTAAGCTTCTGAAAATTTCTTTTACCGACATGGGAAAATGTTAGCCGGTTATCGTAGTGAATGACGATAACGGTAAACATCCAGTTTATCGCCCAGCCCTAATCAGAGCTTCCCAAACATTTCAGCCTCAGATCCCCAAACTATAACACTGCAAGAGAGTGCATGCAACCACTTCATTCTTTGTCCAATTTATAAATTTAAAGTTAAATTATAAAATTAATTAATTTTTCAAATATCATTTATTTAATCATTTTAAATGTATTCTTAATTATTTAATAAACACTTAATTATTTAATGATGCATTTTACAGTTTAGTGAGACATTCAGACTAGATTCATGCATTGGATAAATAGATAGATAAATGTTACACTAGAATATTTCATTGTATATTTATATTTTATTCACATTTATGTATTATGTGATATATTTTAGCCCTTTATAAAACTCAGGGATTATTTCACAATGTCTGTGAAACTAGCAGGAAGTGGTATCCAGCTAAGGGGTCGCTCCACTCTGTCTTGTTGTCTTAAATTATTTGCTCCCAATCCTTTACTTTCTTATTTAACTCCAGGCTTAAGATACGCTTTGTATCTAAACTGTAAAATGGTATAATATTTATCCTCCTATGTGTATCAGAGAAGAGCTTTGATATATTTTTATCTTCACATTCACCAACTAGAAGGCTTGTACTGCAGGGACTAAGAGCTGTGGAGAGTTTGATTACATTTGAGACTCTTATTTTGAAGGAAACAGATGGTAGTTCCTTGTTAAGCTTTACTGCAAAAAATGTGGTTAGAAGAAGTAAACATTTCTTATAATAATTAAATTTTTGCCTAATTTGAACAAGCAAATGAGATGATATCTCAATGAATGTTTTGTATTAGGAATATAGTATGCCGTTGAAATTAGCAAATGGAAGTATTTTTATNTATAATATTTATCCTCCTATGTGTATCAAAGAAGAGCTTTGATATGTTTTTATCTTCACATTCACCAACTAGAAGGCTTGTACTGCAGGGACTAAGAGCTGTGGAGAGTTTGATTACATTTGAGACTCTTATTTTGAAGGAAACAGATGGTAGTTCCTTGTTAAGCTTTACTGCAAAAAATGTGGTTAGAAGAAGTAAACATTTCTTATAATAATTAAATTTTTGCCTAATTTGAACAAGCAAATGAGATGATATCTCAATGAATGTTTTGTATTAGGAATATAGTATGCCGTTGAAATTAGCAAATGGAAGTATTTTTATTTTTATGTTGTACTTTCCTGCATAAACAAAGGTGAAACATGCTCTTTTTTTCTAGGGAATGGACAGTTTTCTGATTTCCAGCTACCCTGCGGTCCTCAATGAAGTTTTGTTTGGATCAAATTTCATTACACGTTAAAAATGTCAACAACTAGGTTTGATCAAACTGGATCAGAATAAGTCTGAAAAGGAAAACCTTTCCAAACAGTGTGAGCAGGAGTGGATTTAGGAAATTTGGGGCCCTAGGCAAAGACAGGCATAGAATTGAGAGGACGATACATAAAAGAGACCCATTATACAGATACTGAATTTTTTATCGACATACATTATTTCTTCTACGTTTTGTCCTTCTCTTCTATTAACCGTTCATGTATACAGAGTTTTTTGGGGGCCTAGGCAACTGCCTTGTATTGCCTAATTGTAAATTCTCGCTGAGTGTGAGATCTTCTGAACCTTGACAGGTTCCTAGTTTCCCCCGGATTGTTGTTATAATCTGCTCTGGTTACCCAGAGCTAATCCTTATTTCCCTTCTGGAAGCTGTCAGCGTCTTGGCTGCGTTCAGTCTGATGTTTATCTTTACACGCAGCCAGCAAGCGGCCATCCTGGAGGACCTGGTCACCGACGTTCCTCTGGAGTTTGATTTCCTGTTCTCCCGTTCACACGCTGAGGTCATCTCTGGGAAGCAGGAAGGTACGGCCCCATGCTTGTTTTACTTCATGTTCAGAAATGTTTGTTTCTCCAGCTTCTGACTGATAACCGTTTTGTTTTTCCCCCATGGTGGTGATAACGTGTTCTGTTGCCGCGCCGCTGTAAGGAGTGTACGCTTGGATCGGGATTAATTTTGTCCTCGGCCGCTTTGATCATCCTGAGGAAGGTTGGCAGGAAGCACTGATGTTCTGAAATGGATCCGAGGATAACTTTTCTGGAAGGTTTAGAAAATCTGTTTCTTTTTTATTTCAGACGATGCTTTGGTTGAAGTGACCACCGGGTCCGAAAACCAGCCGCCAATCAGCAGACGCCGCACCGTGGGCATCATGGATATGGGCGGAGCTTCCCTTCAGATAGCTTACGAAGTGCCCAGCGCCATCACCTTCAGCTCGCCACAAGAGGTAAGGAGGAGCAGGAGCTGAGGACTCTGCTGTCAGGAGTGTGTGTGTGTTTGCTGCCGACATGTGGCTCATTTACGCCACGGCGCTGTTTGACATCACCCATGTTGTCCAGGAGGAGGCAGGAAAGAGCGTCCTGGCCGAGTTCAACCTGGGCTGCGACGTCGAGCAGACGCAGCACGTTTACAGAGTGTATGTCACCACATTCCTGGGCTTTGGAGGAAACATGGCCAGGCAGCGCTACGAGGACCGGCTGGTGAACAGCACGCTGCCCAGAAACGGGTAAGAGACACGCCCACCCACCCCCACACACACAGTTCACCTTTCTCTATCCTCGTTGGAGATTACAGGTTCATACCTAACCCTAATCCTGTCCTAAACTCATTTCACATCTTAGTCTTAAACATGACACCTAAGGCTTAAACAGCATTTGTACCCATGGGAACAGACATTGGTCACAAGTAGAGAACTTGGTCGCCACGATGTTGTAAAAACACACCCAACACACATAGAGACACAGTAGAGAGCTCCATTAAAGACATTTCATCCCAGCGCTGTGTGTCCCAGAGCCGGTGACATCATCAATGACCCCTCACCATGGACTGTTCTCCCTGCTGGCCTCTGGGAAGAGACTTCAAAGCATTCAAGGTTCAGCAATGAGAAAGGAAAACAAAACAAAAATACACTGAATGTTGGAAAAACTGTAAATCATATCTCAGTCTTATGTTTCCATTTGATCACTGCTGCACTTTAAGAACTGGAAATGTCTTTAAAGCTGTACTGAAAGAAATTTTGTTTTGACAATAAAGTCTCTAACTAATGACTCGGAAGCCGGTTTTTCTAGATAAACTTGGTGTCCTCCCTAGAGCCAATCACATTATTCTATATCCGATTTAGCCAGGAGAGTTCTGCCAAAGTTTTATGTGAGCAATAAAATAAAATCATTAACTAGGTCCATTAGACACATTAGGTGTTAAAATAAAAATATAGTTGGTCCTTTAGACGGGGATCCAATAAAAGAACGAGCAATATTAATTCACAGAATCAAATATTTATAAGGAGAGGGTTTTTAGACTGCATATAGACATATTTTCATATTCAGAATGTCTTCTTAATGAACGCCACAGTTTTTAGAAATAGGAATTTATTTCAGACAATTTGACAAAAAACAATAAATGAATCAGCTGAATACACAAAACAAAGACTAGTTAACATCAATTAAGCCAAACACCAATTTCCAAATTAACTAAATTCACCTGAACATAAATGGTAACAAAACCCTCCGATAGAATAAACCTGTCAGTATTTACAACCAGAGAAATGACATTGATTCATGTAAATTGTCTGAAAATAGAGTAACCTTATTGTTAAACTTGATTTTTTTTTTTTTATATTCACACAGCCCTACTCCAAATAACGCGACAGATGATATTTTTATGTCTGTTCAGGTTTCCGGCCACAGAGATGGGTCTGAGTGAGGAAAGGCCCTACCTGGACCCCTGTCTTCCAGTCAGCATGTCTGACACCGTCACCCGGGGTAACCACACCGTGTACCTGAGGGGTCAGGGTGACTGGAGTCGCTGCAAGGAAGCTGTACGACCTTTCCTGGGCCTTCACAATGGCACCATGTCTCCACAAGGCATATACCAGGTACTACCCTGCCTGTTAGTGGAGTTTGCTTATATAGCCGACAGCAGATGTTCTTAAAGATAAAATCCGGCTAGCAAGGAATAATCAAGGCAGGGATTGACGTTAAGGATTTTTTTGGGCAAGTGACTTTCACATTTCATTTGCCCAGAAAC